CGATAATAATAGCGAACACACCGTCGCATACAATTCCGGTGGCAAACGGCACGGAAGGGTCGATCGCCGGCACGCGAGCCGTCATACGAACTACAGTTTCCGTGAGGTTTACGTAACGATTGAAATACGGTTTTCGACAAAATAATTGTCTGATTAAATCCCGTGAATAGCGTGATATCGGCGTTACCAGTATACGAATAAATGGCCGAGTGAAAATTAATATGCTCAATCTTGCTACCATTAACAGACTCGTATATACGTGCGAGGTACTTGGAATTACGTTTGCCAACACGCTCATTTATCACATCGCCCAAATATATGGTCCTGATAAAGTAGTCATTCGGTATGCCCATTACTCTGGGAAAATAGGTGTCCACCGAGGGCAAATTACTAAAATTAATTTTTTGCTGACTTACTGAATTGATCCAATAAAGGCTAAAAAATTGGTCGTATAACGGCTTATTAAGTATCGCTTTTGGGGTGGCGTTGAAATAGCAATAATCTTTAATTCTCAAGATACATTTTTCCTTCTTCAATATATATAATCTTTGTGATACTATAAGCGATATAAATGGATAGCTATTATCGGTTTCGTATGATTTCATGTGAATTTTGATTGCGTATTCATAGCTGAAATAAGCCGTTGAAATGTCGTATAACTGTTGGATAAGTATTGCCGATAATATTGCTGTATATATGCGCTTTAACTATTAGATTGATAAATGTGAATTAATTATATATATATGTATGATTGGAAAGTAAAAAGGCCTCCAAAGTTTTATACACTTGTATTTCTTTTTGTGCTTGAGTCTATTTGTAGGTTTTCCCCTTACACATTGCTTACTAACTATTCGTATGAATATTAGGCACACTAAACAAATATTTAGAGGCCTTTTTACTTTCCAGTCATACAGATTTATATAAATAAAATACTAACCCTTAATAAATATGAATAATTGAAATTTGTTTCAAAATAACTTTCACATTTTTGTATAATGATAGATATTTGTACATATTTATTTACGTATATACTTAACCAATTTATTACACTAATAAAACTGATGCCGTGCCATAGGCTCATAATATTGGCTATACTTATGATTAGTCCTATAAATGTAAATGTTACTGAGTAGTTAATTGATATATAATTATCATCATTAAATCGAAATAAATAATTTGTTCCAACATCTGCTTGCTGAATTATGTTTCGTAAGTATAAGCTATCCAAACATTGTACAGGGCATTGATTTTTACACCGATTAAGTAATCGTCGATTAATATCATGTCTGTTATTAATGCTATAATTACCACAAAAGGTAACATTAGGTTCAATACGCTTGTCGTATAACCGAACGGTTAGTAAACTATTATTTTTGGGAATACAGTGAAAATGATTCCGATATTCAGTTTCATAGCATTTGTTAAGACAATGAAATTGGGTTTCGTTTTCCCTATAGACGTAACATTGCGTGTCGTATGGTTTTGGGAGACGTTTGAAATCGTAGCGAATTATTTGTATTGTTTGAGTAAGGTGATTTAATAAATCCTTGAACTGAACGACATCATCGAATATACCGGGAAAACTATTTGGCGAGTGTAATATAAATTTTAATTTAAAATAATTAATTTTTGTGGTTACATGATTATCATAAAAGCGATAATCTTTAAAATAAATATATTTCGAAAACTCCGGGTACGTTTTATCAAAGGTATCATGCGAAAAATACGTCCGACACAATCCGTATTGTGAAATAAATTTTTCACCTGGTTCAATTATGGTCTTTTCACATCTATCTGGACATAGCATCACTTCACATTCAATCAATGATGATAAGACATCCAGGTCAAACAAAATGGATTTCTCTAAATAAGCGCTATCATTTGTATCAATATTTGCAGGTTCATCATTATAATCACTATAATTATTGACATCAACATATTTTAATATATATTTCCAATAATTATTAAGTGGCTCGATTGCCCATTCCAAATTATCCCAGTAGATTGCTAAAAATAAACATGGACATATTAAATATTAAATAAATAAAACAAAAATAAGTTGCAATTGTAATTTTTTTAAAAAGGAATTAACAAAGTATAAAATTATAAATTCAATCTTAAACTTAGTAAATGTGTCCAGTAAACTTAGTAAACATACATTTATAATGCGGTATACATAGTATAAAATACTCTACGATCAATCGTTTAATATAGATATCAGTTGTTGTAATATTAAATTTACTTTCATTAAATATATCTAAATTATCGCGATGAAATTTTGTTAGGCACAGTGAAGTATTTAATATATTACGTTCAAAATACTTTATAATATCAGGGTCAAATAAAATATTCTGAAATTCATTTTCATAGCATAATGAAATAGCTGGCGCTGATAGAAAGGTATATTTATTTGTTGCAGTTTTATAATTAACAAGTTCAACTGATGTTTGTGTGGGGTACCGCAGGTATTCAACTAATAACAAATGTACCTGATATATAATTATTGGTACGGTGAATATTGCAAATAAATTGCGCCATTTATATTTTAATAATTTTTTACTAAGCTTGATAACATTTTCGATGAAGTTTTCTATGAATTGTATCTGGTATAATTTTGAATAAATATATAATGCGAATAGTTTTATGCGAATTAATACGTGTCTAATGAGAGCACTGGTATCTATGAACGACACCCCAAACCACAAACCAATGAGTCCTCCGATGTTTGACAGGAAGTCGACGAATGAATACCTTTCCGCTGATCTGTAGTGAAATTCTTGCCGTAATTTGTATTCAATTGTAATTTTGCTGTCATTTCTTGCGGTGTATTCAATGTCTTCTAATTCTAATGAATAGTATTTTTGGTCACAATTCGTATCGCAATCGCAATCATATTTGTCCACAAAAGTAGTGATATTAACATAATTTGTATGATTATTATCGCATATCTTATACTGTGTTTGACTGGTATTCAAAAGAATAAATTCTTGATTTATGTAAGGATTGGGTAAACATCGGAATGAAGAGTAAAATTTGTGGAAACATTTCTCTCGACATTTATATAGAGTTAAAGCATCATCTAGATAGAAAACAAATTACATTTATTTATAATTATATCATATACCATATACCGACAAAAGTTATATTTAACAATAAATGTTTGCAGGGATTTTATTTCTATAAAATTAAAAGTAATTTTAAGTTACGGTAAATTATATCTATACAATGTTACATTTGCATAAAATTACGCGAAGTTTATATTTTTATAAACATTTTACACAATATATCTAGAAAAGCAAAACAAACTGAATCTCTCAAAAAAGCTTTAATTTTAGCTTTACATGTAAAATATGTAAAGTAATATTAAAGATTTTTAAAACTAGACTCAGTTTGTTCTGCTTATACAGATATCTAACGTATTATAAATAAATACCTGTTTTCAGACATCTCTTCATATAAGGATTGGACAGCAAATGGAAATGAGTTGTCGTTATCTTCAGTCTCGCATTCAATCCAATTCTCTTCGTATGAATCCATTCATCAGGAGATACCATATGTGAGGGGTTCAGGGGTTTCGTGAATACATAGAACCGGAAATAATCCGAGAAATATATTTTCTCGTAAAGTAAATAATAATTCCTTTTGTAATCTTTCAAATCATATATTTTTGTTTTATTTGTTTCAAAATATCTATTAATTAAAAACTTTTGTTGCATTTCATAATTGATGTCAAACTGAACGAAATCATCGTCAATGAGATACTGGTTATCAGTATTTGTATAGAAATACGTGAAACATATTCCGAAGTCTTTATTCCCATAAATAGTCTCCAAAACGGCATAACTTTGCGAACAATCAGTCATTACTTGAGAATCACTGCTATTATTGTCATTATTATNAAAATGCAATTTTTCCGAACATTTGATGAGTTGTGAAGACTTTATGGTAAAGTTGTCATACAATTCACGAAATGTTAGATTTGATAGCAATTGTTGTTTATATGGTTTTAGATATTCATTAATCATAAAATTATACTTATTTTTAAACTCATCACAAATAGGTTGCCAAAAACCATTTACAGTGGACTTATATGGCTTAATGCAGTCATCATACAAATCATTTGAATATTGTTTAGCCCACAGTTTGTATGACTCGTAATCATCGCTGAGATTAAAGTGTCGGACAATCCGTGTCTTATCCAAAAACACATCCCTTTCCGTACAGATAGTAATCGGCGGTAAATCCAAGCCCTGAGAGGGTTCGACACCAAACTTATAGACATAGGGATAGTGTAGGAAATCTGCGGTTATCTCAAAGCCCTCGTAACATAATATTATGAAACATAATACTTTCAAAACTAATAGATATTTTGATTTAAATTTATCAGTTATAAAGTAATATACTTTCTTTACAACTATACATAAACTGATTATAATATTTTTGATTAATAAACAAGTTGTCCTTGCAACTATTTTTAAATTTATTACAATATAGTTTGTTAATAAACATATTTTCATTGCAAATATATTTAGTAAATCCATTGTATATTTCAAATAAATTTATATTAAGATTAAAATTATAAGTGATATACAACTTTTGACCTCAATATTGTAATATATTATATTTTTGTTATGACTCAAATTGAATTTACATTAAACTAAATTACTATAGAAACTAGATCAAACTAAACAACAAATAACAATTTGTACCATAAATGTTAGTTTGTATATAATTTGTTTGAAAACATTTTCATAACATCAATTATGAATTAATTCTAAAATATTACTATGGTAATTATAATTAAACAATTTGTGATATCTCATATAGTGTTTATTATAGGGAATACCTTATTGTAAACTATAAATAATAGTGTTATTATAAATTTATATTATGATTACAATCAATATTGACTTATAAAAGCTTATAAAAAAATAATTTAATTTTTATTCAATAATCTTAATATCGGCACAACTTCTGAACGTACGTTGTGGACCGCACCCCAGTGCGTACGTACCGTTACCGCATTCGCCCACATACTCCCTGGTAGTCCAGTCCCATTGAAATACACACCTCTCGCAAACAAACCCGGCCGGTAGTTTCAGGGGTATCTCATTAATCCAGTTCTCGTCGCAGTCATACTGACCCATTTGGCACTTATTTTTATGGGCCGGTAGTCGCCACTTGTTATCAGTAGTGCCGACCACTTCCAACTGGTGTTGATTTAGACACTCTTGGGTCACCTCATGTAGGGGATCGGTAGCATTACATATACGGAACTCGTAGTAACCGTCATGATTGGCCACCACGTGTATCTGGGCAGTTATGTTTGAGCCGGCTTTATATGTTACGTATGTTTTGGGATTTTTTGCGTACTTTCCGTTTGGGAACTCGTTTTCTCGGTCACCGTTGTAGGGGTCGCCACATATCCCACATTTGCCAGCGTTTAGGTTCACTTGATTCTGGAGTTATATTGTAAATAAATTATGAGAGAGAGAGAGAGAGAGAGAGAGAGAGAGAGACTTACCGAGAAATCGCCACAATTCAAACCATCGTCATTATTATTAACAGGGCGAGTTTTATCGTACGTCCAAGCACTCGCTCTACTTAACGGTATATCGAGTACTGCATGACCATGCACGTTATACACAATTAAACAATTGTATATAATTATACTTGCTATTAATGTAGCTGATATGTTCATAATGATTTAATGTCTAAACTTAAAAATAGTTTAGTATTTATATACCTTTCTGTAGTATTGCAAAATATGTTGATAAATCGCCGCTAAAATGAATGGACCTAGTAACAATAGACTAATAATCTTAAATAAATACTTTATAGTGCCAGATTCCAAGAATTAATTTTTGCAATAAAGTTGTTATCAAGAAATATAATATTTTTACATTTAATTTAAGATCATATAATTTTATCACGATTATCAAGTATTATTAGTATTTGTAATGTTAGTATTAAACGTACAAGTTAATTTACTTTATCAATAATACTTTTTGAACTCATTAGTTATTTTCAATGATAATATCGATCATAAGAGCAAATTGTCAGAAAATACTTGAATGTATGAATTTAATTAGTATTTTTAAAAATATTATCAAGCTATAATCAATAGCCTAAGTGTGCTAAGATAAGTCTTAATAAATATAAAATGTTTGCAAAACTTTACTTGTTTAATTGGAGAACATTTCTGATAAATAGTCAATTTCTTATTAAATGTCTTTACAAACTAACATCTTATCAAACAAGGGAATTCAATTGAATTTGACAGTACAATTATAGCACGGATTACCTAGCAACAAAGCAAATATGATATAATTTATATATATAAAGGCTGCTTTAAAACCTTTAAACAACCACATTTGTGAATTAACTTTACAGTATTATTATATAAACTATACAGAAATGTTACACAATCAATATGTTATGGTTATATTTGCCCTATTACATTTATGTACAGTTGGTCACTGTAGTGAGTCAAGTGCTATATTAGACGAACCCCCGTCCCGATCGAGCGCCTGGAGGTTTTTCTTTAACACATCCCAAAATCCATTGGACGGGTACACCAATTGTGGGGGTTTTGATGTAAGTTATATTACAGTAACTATTAAAATATGAATTAAAAGTTCAATTTATAAGCTTAATTTTATTATGTATAATACAGCATATTATAACTTTGCTTGTAACATATTAGTACACTATGAGGGACAATTTTTAAATTTAATTTTTAATGTAAATTAAATATTTGTAGACCCAATGGAACCTTAACCAGGGTAAATGTGGGGTGTGTGGCGACCCTTATAACGCACCGGTACGTGATAACGAGCTACCCGATGGTAACTACACGGAACCATTAATGATCACCCGAACCTACAAAACTGGAACCACCATATACGCCAAGGTTCATGTTATTGAGAATCATCAGGGTCACTTTGAATTCCGGTTATGTAAAGCACTAAACTTATTAGGGAACGACACCCACGAATCACATGTAGGCGTCAAAGAGGTAACCCAGGAGTGTCTGGACCAGAATATATTGGAAGTAATGGGTTCATCAGATAAGCACCGGTGGGTTATTCCTACCAAAGATAATGACGTTATTTATGCGTTTCGTGTGAAACTGCCGGTTGGGTTGACGTGCGAGAGGTGTGTGTTTCAGTGGACATGGATTACCAATGAAAGGGCTGGCGATAAACAGACTACACATAAAGCCTGCGCTGATGTCAAGATTATTAATTAAAATACGTTGATTGACAATGATGAGTTATAAAATAATATTTATAAATTTTTTAAATAAATTCCAAACATTGACTAAAATATTATTTTAAAATTATATTCATAATTAATTAGAAACTTTAAGTTATAATTGGTTGAAAATATTGTACTTATCTAGATAATATTTATGTTAAAAGTACATATTAATTGTTAATGTAATATATTATATCGTTTTGTTACTAATAGTATATCATACAGTAGGGATTAAATAATGCAATACGTAAAAATTTATTAATTCAAAAATAAAAACTGAGCAAGCATTTAAAACACCTAGACAACAAAAGGAATGCTTATAAAATTCAAAAAGGTCAATTGACTGATCGGTATCATCGCCAAGGTATTTATTTTGTAACCCTAAGTACTAAAATATTTGTTTGAAATATATGATATTGGTATAATCCGTACTCAGTGGCAATTTTAAACCTAGAAAAGATTATTTACTAAATAGTTGTCCATGATTATTTAATACTCACATATTATTTAGTTTTTTAGCAAATAGATAAGCTTTCAAAACCACGTGCCCGCATAAATTAGGTTGATATTTGTGCTTGGATATTGTAAAATATTTATTTCTGTCCATATATTGAGAATAATATTCTCGATATTGGTTTGAATATATTGTTGGCAATAATATTACTGACTTGCCCCTGATCATATCATTAAATATATGTTGATCAAACAAATTATTATTGTTTTCAAAAGTAAAATTACAACGATCCTGATATATTCGTAGCCTTTTGTATATATTGTTAGTACCGTGGTGTTTTAATAAATAAATAATCATATCGGTTCGAGCAGCAACAAGTACATTTTTATCATCACTAATATCATCTAGTGAATTAAATATAGGCACATATTGTCTGTTGAAGTAAGTAGTTAATAATAAACCAGAATAAAAAATTAATCATCGTTATTTATCAATTTTATAATAAGTTATGCCATGCACAGTAATATAAATTATAATAATCAGTGAATGAGAGAGAGAGAGAGAGAGAAGGCACAAAAAATTATTGTGCCAGCAATTAATATTAATTTTATATTTATTTTTACTTTCTCATAAAAGGCTTTACTACTTATGTTTGAATGAAAACTTATAATTAAAAATATGAACTACTTAAGACATGGAAATATTTTTAAAAATCTCACATACTTTTATTCCAGTAATCTCTTAAAACATATTGCTAATGCCACTTAATTTAACAAATGTTTTATTAATTTAGCAAATGAAACATTAAACATTAGCGAATGTATTTTATTTTGCTTTTTAACTTCATAAAACTAATTCTGAAAATAGCTTTTGAAATGTCAATTATATACGAAAAATATAACTTCTTTATCACTAATATACTAGTAGTTTAGTGTTTTTAATAGGGCTGCCAAACGTCCTCCTTTTGGAGGATTGTCCTCCAATCGACCCCTTAAAAAGCAGTGTAATGTAATGACCCCAATGTAATGTCCTTCCATAGATAATTTTCAATATAATACAATATGATGATAATCACATTTCTAAAAGAATTTTTATTTTCAATATTAATATTAATAAACTAGTGGTATCATAAAATTTCTGGGTAACATTAATTTACCATGCCATATGGCTTTACCAAAACTTTAGAGCTTTAAGAAACTTTTTCGATCGACTTGGTTCAATAGTATGCAAAACTTCCGCCTTAACTTCAGCCCCTTGCTTGCTCTTGCTCATTTCATGCAAATTTTTAATCTCGTTCCCGGTCACTTTTAAATCGTACAACTCCTTAATCAGGGCGTTAATTTTTGGCAACGACAGTTCTGTTTCCATCATGCTACCTTTCATAATATTCTTATCAAGGATAGCTTTTTCTGTCTCATAATCGGTAAGAATTTTCTTTAAGTCGTTAACATCAGCAAGCATTTCACGTTCCGGTTTTCCCGATCTTTTAGCATTCTCAATTTGCTCCAACAAATAATCCTTATAGGCATCGTTATATGCAGCAATGGCATTATTTTTCAGGAAATAGGCAAACTTGGCAGACGATTCGACAATCTTTTTACGTTCCAATTTATAATCGTTTGTAACTTGCTGCAATTGCTGAATGACCTCCTCCTTGATTTTCATGTTATCAGTGGCGCTATCGAGCTTATCGCGCAGTTCCTGTTGCTTATGTTGGGCGGCTTGTGCTTGCTGATTTTTGGAAATCAACGAAAATATATTCACAATTGGTACAAAATCCCAAATGCTGAGCTCGCGCTTGAACTCGCTCAATCTTATCTGCTCGAGGTAGGTTTTGATATTACCGTTAAAGTTGTTAATCTCGTCCCGGGTCGTTTCCAATTCTTTCAATTTGTCCTCGATGGTTTCAGCAATTTTAACAATGGGTTTGTTTAACGCCAAAATTAATCTGCGAGTTTCATTTATTGACAACGTTTCTTGAATTAAGTGCGGAGGTAGGGGTTTACCATCCTTGCCAGTCATGATATAATTCATCAATCTCATACATTCGGTGACCGACTTTTTCCAACTATTTCCATAGTCTTGCTTCTCCTCCTCGGCGAAAGTTACGTTATTTCTCAACGCTATTAACAACTGAAATGAGTCGTTGTCCAGACAATACATGGTGTCCTTCTCGATAGGTATGTCCACATTGGGTGGGCTGCTTTTGATCTCGCCCAGGATTTGTTTCAATAAGACCAAGGTGTTTTTGGGTCGATAAAACGTAGAACGCGTGTTTGTGAATAAGAATACCATGTTCTTGCTGGCCTCCTTTTGTAAGTGACAAAGCAATTGTTTAAGGCAATACTTGAACGAGCTAGTTAATCTGGTCATATCAGGCTTTAACAGTATACAGATTAAATGCAACTCTTTGTATTCGGCAATAAACGAAAGTAAATTATCGAAATTAATCTTATCTTGGTCGAATCCACGGGTATCGCCAACACCAGGTGTATCAATTAATCTGACCAGGATCTCGCCATACTTAAATGAATAAGCTCGACATTGCTGGGTAACGGACTCACCCTCGCGCTCGTACGACTCGTTTTTGTCATTGCCGTACGAAACGTGTCTTTGTTCGTAGTTGGCATCGGTTACCACGAATCGGGTCGGTATCAGACAAATAGGATCGTTGGTTTCGGCCTCTTCAAGGGTCTCGTAGTTTAAATAATTGGCGAACGCGTTGATGAATGTAGACTTCCCTACGCCAGTCTCCCCGAGTAAAAGTATGTTGATCTCTTTAATCTCTTTCTGCTTTTCCGAGGCCATGATCCTGGTCAATTAACAATTCTTGTTAAATTGGATACTGTAAAATAAAACTTATTAGTAGCTTATAAAATAATTTACGAATTGCTGCTTTTATGCAAAATTGTTATCACAAAATTCGCCCACATTTGACATTGAAAATCATTTATGTTGTTTATTATAAAAAAAATTACGATTTATCTAAGTTAAATATTAGCTCAGTGTGGGTAGACCAACAAATCCATTTGTTGGCACAATATTGCTATTGCCCATAATTTTAATCAATGTATAATACTCTGCTATTATTACTATAATTATAATTAATAAACAAGTCTATAATTTTGAATCATAAAAGTGTGATACACCGATTAAAATAATGGGTAATAAAATTAATGTCCACAAATGTGCTATTTTGCGTGTACAATTTGGTTATTTTAAACACTAAATTTCAACATTTATTTATCTAATCACATCTACACGAAATCCATTAAATAAAATAAATCTACTATTGCGTGATGTTAGCACTAATGTAGTTTACATATAAGTTAAAGTAAATAACAGATTTGAAAGTCTAGACACAATTATTTCAAATTATTGTGTGAAATACTTTTATAGACAAATAAACTTATATATTAGGGGTATGCAAAAGTTTTGATAGGTGAAATATAGTCAGTAAAAGTTT